ACCTGTTAAGTAGTTGGAGAATACACCAGTTCTGTTGCACCACCATTGAATTCGCGCATCAATCATTTTTTCCATTACCTTACATAGACAGCTTGTCAGACTGATTGGATAGAAGGATTCAAGGTTCAAGGGCGTCTTAGCCAGTTTTGAGATCGGAATGATGCGAGCAGACTTCCAAAACTCGGGTACAATTTCTTGCATCCATAGATTATTGTAAACATCTAAGAGAATAGTTGTGCCTGTGGGCCCAAGGTTCTTTAGCATACTGTACGTAATGCCGTCCAGTCCAGAGGCCGATTTTTGACATGATGCTATAGCATAATGCAGCTCCCCTAATGTAAATACAGGGTCTAGTTGAGGATGCTGGGCCCAAAAGCAAGCATTAATTTTTTGGCTGGCTAACGCGACATATTGTCAAATAAGGCACATTGTAATGTGGCAGGCCTACTGATAGATTAACAAAATTCATCAGCTACCACAACTTCCCGTTTGTCCAAGGCTACAGCAAGAGCACGAAATGGAAAGCTCTGTAATACAGGGCCACTAAATGCTCGAATTACAAGCCGAATTCTTGGAGCAGGTGTGTGGGGAGAGAGCGTGCCACAAAAATCACGCCAGCGTCGTTTACCTAACTTTTCTTAGTCGTATGCGCTTTGCACTGTGGATTTTCTGTGCACCTTTGTATGCTTCTAAGCTTCCGCTACGTCGATATGCCCTTTCTGAACGTCGTCTGATGGCTCTTAGATGTTCATACTTTCCGTCGACTGCAGCATAGTCTTTTAGAATCGGGACTTACTTTGTACGTTTATTCGCATTATCTTGCAAAAATTCAGTTAAGCTTTCAACTGTCGTTAGTTCACTATTTTGGTTTGTTATGCGGTACCGAAAAACTTTCCAGTTCATCAGTTTGCTGCAGCGCCTGATGTCGTCATTTCGCAAGTAGGGGTGATTTATAAGAAATGGAAATGGTCACTCCCACGTGTTTCTACATCCGTTGTTCATCCCACACCGTTCACTAGACCTTGGGAACACATGGTTACATCGATGCAACTCGAGTAATTATGCCCTCGGAGAAAAGTTGGGGAGCCGTCATTTAAAATTGTCAAATTGCATTTGTCTGCGGCACACTCAACAATATTCCCACGTGCATCACATCGATCACTACCCCAGATTGTGTTGTGCGCATTAAAGTCTCCGCATATAAACGTATATGAATTAGAAATGTTGAAGATATTTGTTAGCTCTTCCACCAAAATGCGGCTTGAAGGTTGTAGGTAAAAATTGATCACTGTTAAGCACTGCTCACTAAAGGATACTTTGCAAGCGACGAATTCCGGGAAGTCCGAATCACTTGAGTGAGCTTCGTGAGAAGGTAGATCCTTTCTGACGCACAAATGCACTCTGCTAGGACCACTTAGACGAGATGACTTATATATAACGTAGTTAGAGAGGCGGAAATCATCATTCATTCCTGCCTCTTGGATGCGAAGTACTGGAAAGTTATACTGCAAAAGGAGTTTACGGAAGTCAGCACACTTCCTTCGAAGACCATTGACATTCCACTGGTATATGGAGACATTATTATAGCGCTTATTCATATGTTACTTGTCACAGGTTTTGACACAATAGCGCTTCCAGAGGCAGCAGGGCTTTTATTTCTGGCAGGTTGTTCGCTTCCGGTAGAGCAGACAGGATTGCCTTAAGTGCTGCGAAAAGCATTGGTAGAATCAATTGCATGACTGATGCAGAGGCACGGTCCCCATTGAATGGTTCAGTTTCTGAGGCCTGTTGAGAACGACGTGACGTTTCGATGTTGTAGCTGGGGCGAACAATGGCGCTGTCGGTTCTTCTACCTTCCGGCTGAGGTCGCGTGGGCGTTCGCAGCTTTGACGCGTAGGTTGGGTTACATGAATGTACTTCTCGTGAGTGGTCTCTCGGGTGTGCTCTTGGCGGTTCTCTTGGCGTGTTTGTCGGCTGTTGTTGTGGTGTGCGCTGAGGTAGATCACGTACAGGATGAACAATCTCAAGGTTTGGAGAGGGTTCATTGGGTCGCGGTTTTCTTCCATGGATGAGCTCATGCCGACGCATTTTTGCAGCAGCTTTACTTTGCGGGCAGCCTGAATATGAGGCAGCGTGATTACCTGCACAGTTTGCACACTTAGGCTGAAGAACTGACTTGCGCTCCTTATATTGGTGTTCTTCTGAGCAGATCTTACACCGGCGTGTGTTACGGCAACTTTACGCCATGTGTCCGAATCGCTGGCAGTTATAGCACCGAAGTGCTGGACCAAGATATTCCACTTGGTGACCGGTGAATCATAAGTAGATACTTCCTGGAATCGGGTGGTCATCTCGAAAAGTCAGAATCACTGAGTGAAGTGGACGCGACGTTACTGCTCCATCTTCCTGGCGGTAATACTTCATTTGCCGTCGCGCCGATATAACCCCTGCATCTCTCAAGTACTCTAGAAGTTGTTCGTCTGAATACTGAAGAGTAACATGCTTAATTTTCCCAACGCTCCGAGTGTGACTCTGGGATGAGAGGCTTAACTTCCAGGCCGCCTACATTCGAAAGCATCAGAAGACGCTTGGCTGGAGCTAAGGAAGCAACGCTGACACTGAAGCTTCCATCTCTGGTCGTTCTGAACGACTGCACTTTTTCTTTAGCAGTGGACACTACTTCGGCTGACACTCGATTGGGGTTCACTCTCCAGAAACTAGCACCTTCAGCTGTTGGACGAAAGACGACTGGGATGCCCTCTGCTCGTTTCTTCTTATACGCAACCAACGTAAATGGTTCATCTTCACCCATGTCTTCTTCATCACTTAGGTAATAGTTTGACGTTTTATCGTCGAAAATATTCTCTTCTAAGCGAAGCTTCTTGCTCTCAGCTTCATCATCTTCCATTGCTGCTGTGCTCGCGTGAGCCATTTCGCGGTTGTGAAAGAGCAAACTTGCCGGCTTTATGATGTTTTGGTGCGCCTGTAAGCCCCCAGGCTTTTCATTGTGTCCAGCAGTGTCACTCATGTGGGTTGACGCACTTGGACAAACATAAGGCTCGGGGCGATGGCTACCACCCACCGTAGTGGTCACGTAATAGCCAAGTCTTTGATAAAGGAATCTCGTACCTGTAAGGTGCCGAGCCCTCGAAGTCTTCACCCGACGTCTTGTTGGCTCACCGGGGAGAAATGGGTGTCAGCGTAATAGTCCAAGAAAAAAGCACAAATAAAACACTGCACAAAAACAGCGACCGAACAGAGCCACTTCGTCTTCTTCCTCCTGTTCTTGCCACCCTGCATGCTAATATACCCTACGTCTGAATTGGCTCGGCTCTCGTGGCTACGTCTCTTTTTGCCCCGGACTCTACCTGTCTTAGATATTGGTGCCACTTTGGAATGGTATCTGTCCATACCACCTGTCAAAGAGTCTACGTGGTTGTTTTCCTCGTTACTAGCTATCCTGCACCCCGAAGCGCCCGCGTGGCCCCCAAAAAAGCTACTGCGCGTCCTGCAAGTCGCCAACCCACCTCATAACCTATCCGCCCATCGAAGTGAATTCTGTCTCGTAGAAAACCACCCCACCTATGCACCTCTCTGTTTATGTCCCTCACCTCAAAGCCTTTCTCTCGACTCATCCGCCCTATCTCTTGATTTGCGTTGACAACCGCTCTTTGCAGGTTGCTATCACGCACCGGTACCTCCCGTATCGTGCATATCACTACCTGTACCTGAGGAGAAGTGGCGCGCATGTCATCGACGCCTTTTGCCAGTGTGGTTGCAAGTCCTGCTGTATCTTTATTTAAGAACTCGTTTAAACCACCTGAAATTATCACGAAGCTTCGTCTATCAGCTGTATTTTTGAGTTTTGCGCTCGCTTGCCTCATGACTGCTTCCATCGAACGCCCCTACTGCAACCTTCTTGTCACCTCTTACCCTCTCTTTGATGGCTTCTGTGCATCGATTCAATTTTGAGTCTCCGGTGATTATCACATGCTGTGACTTTTCAGCTGGAGCGTTCTGCACCTGGGGGTTATTAGCACCTGTGACGCCGGCTACTTTGTCCCCTCCCAGCCCCACCATTACTTCGCTGAAGCTGGGCCTTGCGACAAATGAACCGGCTGAACCTGTTTTTTCCAAGCTTGCTTGCTCTTTCTTCTCCGCTGTTCTGGTTGCCGGTGCCTGACTATTCTCTCCGTTGGCCGCTCCTTTGTTCACTTTCACTAGTGCCTCCTCGGCGGACTTAGTCTTTCACCCATAGCCCTCGTTTTCTCTTGCACTGTCGCCAACGCAGTCTCCAGCTCGGTGATTCTCATCAGCAGTTCAATCATTATTATTTTCTCCATTTTTTCCTCGATCTCACATTGTCTACACTCCATTCGCTTCTGCACTTGGGTTCATTTTCAAAGCTACCCTGCATCCTGAACACTTTATAGCCTTTTTAACCATGTCTTTCTTACACCATTTGTCCTTATGAATTGTCCCACTTTATAATTACAAAACACGGCGTACGATGATCCCTGCCCTACGAAAAAGAGAAAGTCTAAGCTCTACTACAAAAATTTGTGAGTTCAATGTACGTGCACCTCCCCCACGGGTTGGCAAGAGAAAAAAACACCAAGAAACAAACACACACACACACACACACAAACTAGTAAATACCTGGTGACTGACCCCCGAAAAAGCCGTACAATGTAATAAGTACTACAAAGGTTTTAACTGCTGCCTTACTAATTATAAAGGCAAGCTCGAAATATGCAAAACCTTTCATCTGCACAGTCGATCGGGAGCGCTGAAAAAAACACATCCATCCACCATGCCAGTCTGAACTTGGCTTTTTCGGGGGTCAGTCACGAGTTTGTGTGGGTGTGTGTGTGTTTGTTTTTGTGTTTGTTTTTTCTCTTGCCACCTCGTGGGGGAGGCGCACGTACATTGAACACGCAATATTTTTGTAGAACGATTCATTCTAATATCGCGCTCTCTGCTAGGAGCGCTGCGAGCGCAAAAACGGGGGAAACGGGCAACAGCGTTGGTGGCGTTGTCAAGGTTGAGAGGAAGCTGTGTGTCGGCTGTATGTGTCCTGCCGCAAGCCGTACATGTGTTTGCCGGTTTCGCCGAACCTCGACTGACTGAGCGGCGCGCCCGGGTCTTCACCATCGGAGGGTTTCTCCTGTTTATGGGAGGAAACACGGCGTCCGCCATGCCATCACCCGTGATCGTAGCCGCCACCGCCAAGCACACGGCCACTGTGAGTTAGGCTTATTCCCATCAAAAAGACCTCGCGACTTGTATCGATCCTGTCATGCCTGTTTTCTCCACTGCCCCCATCACTCGTATCGTCCGCCGCTGCCGCGGAAGTGCGAAAACCAAACGGGTTGTTCGTTTTGCCCGCCGCGATCGCAAATCACGGCCGAACTACGGATTAAAGTACCCACACGGTGCACGCCGAAACCAACTGCGTTGGAATTGATTGATCGCTGGAAGCGGTAATTCCGGTGTAGATGTAACCGGCGATCGGTCGCATAACCATCGCCGGTTTGGCACATTACGTGGTGCGCCTTGAAGTGTAACGGAAAGGTCGTGTTCTGAAATAGAAGGCTGTGCAAAATCGATAGCGTGGGGGAGCGCGCTTGCGTGCAGCTGGGAGGCGCGTTTCTAATTCATGCCGACTGTTCCGGTATTGCGAGCCGGGCCGGAAGCCAGCGCCGCGATCTAGTTTAACCGGGGCATTCTGACCTCAAATTTAGTTCTGACTGCGCTCTCTTAAATCTAGACTTGCTGCGCTAGCAGAATGAAGGAAAAGGCGGGACGGCTTAGAGCGTGCACTACCAACTTTTATATTGAAAACCGGTAAGCCAGAATGCATACCACAGCACCATCGAAATGCGTGCAAGGCCAACACTTTATTTATCGGTATTTCATATAATCGCCACGGATTCTTAAAAAATGCACATGTATAACACACGCAACAATAGTTTTCTTATGTTATCACGAAGTGCATACTGGGTAGTTTTTTTAGTCATAAAGTGTTTATTGTTATTTTCCTTTTGTCATTTTTATTGCTGCAATGCTCTGCGATGACCCTCGCAAACGCATCAAACAACGCTCAAGTCTGCACTCTATCCTATTGCCCCTTTTCGTTCTTCTGCAGCAAGCCTAGGTTTCAGTATGAACCTACCAGGCTGCAAAGAAGTACATATTACCCTGTTCGAGTTGTCGTGAGGTAGACATCTTGAAGCTGTGAAAATCGCATAGAGCCAGCTACAGAAAACTGAAAGGACTTGAAAACAGGAAGGGGAGCCTCCCCACCCCCTTTTTTTCTCTTTCAGTTGGAAAAAAAGGTCAAGGAATGCAAGGAAAGGACAATATAACTCATTCATAACTTGTCTTATTTTATTTATATTACATCTTGATCTAAATGGCTTATGTAGCGTGGCAATGCATATGGGAGTGTGACGGCAATGCCGACCCCCCCAAAAAAATACAAATTTAAACAACACTGTCTTATTTTATTCATATTACATCTTGATCTAAATGGTTTATGTGGCGTGGCGTATGCATACAGGAGTGTGATAGCAATGCCGACCCAATAAATACAAATTTGAACAATGGGTTCAACCACCTGCTCGCATTAGTGCACTGAATTAGAATTCAGAATTACGGGAAATAAGTCTTTCTTGAAAACAATATTTGTGGAACATCCTGTGCCTAGATATTTTCTTAAGGTGCTCTTGACAAAAGCCTGAAGTTTTCTGTGAAACACTGCACGTGCTCGTGTCCTTTCAGGTCATCTTCCTGCATGGCCTGGGAGATACAGGGTGAGGCAATGTTTAACACTCTCTCCTTTTTTTTTTGCAAATGGGGTTACAAAAGTTATATATCACACAGCCAGTTCCATTTTTTGTTAAACTTGATGTACCATCATGTACTGTCTTCTACTAGAATACCATAACTGAGCCATGTGACGAATACATTTACATACCGCTCAAAAGTATCGTATTTTACTTGAATGTAAGATGTTTTTTTTTTTTTTGTTTCGGATTCTTACGACATAAGTTCGACCCTCATGTTAAAATTTAATATCAAAATACAACTTTTTTTTTCTGTAGGCAATGAAACGTTACCCTGGCATTACGATTGGGGTCACGTTACAATTGAGTAAATACGATATTGATAGATGTTCTGGCGTTTGTTAAAAAACCCTAATGCTGACCTGAAGACTGTGCCATATAGAGGCAATTGTGACTACTATATTTGGCTTGTCACACCCCCCCTCCTCTCCTCAGAGTTATCACCCATTCCTTTATTTATAGTGCAAAGTGGCTGAGTTTTTTTTTTTTTTGCATAATCACTGTTGCATTAGCCTACAATTAGTTCCACTGCTCCTAACTCATCAGCATATTTGTTTGTTTCTGGCTAGTTGCTGCAGCATTTACCGCTAAGTGCAGTATAAATGGCTATCTAATTATTGTGCTGTCAGTCATGTTAAATTTCTTCGAGAGTCGAATTTGACAACCCATTATTACATGCGATAGTTACCTGCTGGCAGCGAGCATTGCTAAAAAAATTTAAAAAAAATTTTTGATTCCTGCTGGAATGATCTCCATCCATACTGACACCACTTTTCAATGGTGGGTTTGCTCTGATGTACCAATCTTCTCTATACGGAAACATCTTTATAGTATGAAGCTAAGCAAATCCTAATAAAATACTTTATTTTGATATTAAAGTTGATTTCACATGGTCCATCTATTGACATTGACACTAGCTTGACGTGAGGCTTCAGTACTAATTCTGTTGACTTCACTTAGCAGCCTGGCTAGTTGTGATGATGTTGGTCACCCAAACTCCCAAAACCGCTGCTTGCGCATGACCAAAACATTCAAAATGGTAGCTTGTGCATCACCGTAGTGCAGGGCAGCTGTGGAAATCATAACGATATGTTGTGAGAGTGCATGCCAAGATGCTGTTCATATCATGTTGTGATGTGGGCGTACAGTAGGGACCGACATCAGCTTTTAATAATGTACCATATTTACTTTTACAATGTCCGCTCACGCTTAACGGTACCTTTTCTAAGCTCTTCAGGGCTTGGCCTTTCATTTGACGAAACGAAAGGGGAGAGAAGATTCTCACCAATGTAGAAGAATAATCGTGCCAAAATGATCATGTGAAGAAAAATATCTTACTTAAAAGTAGTATAAATAGATTTCAGGCATTAGGAATGCTTAATTTATCATTAGCATAGTGTTTGTAGCCTTTTTCTTGCATTTAGTGCACAGAAATGGTAATAGTAAGTTATGTCTCCAATTGAGGACGATGTGTCAAAGCGTGCTATATCTTATGTAAGTGTATGGTCAAGCTTGCTATATTATGTGCTTGTGTTAGAGTTTAAATCGATTCACAAATGAACGTAAGTAAATGGGAGGACTTTTTTCTATGGCCCTTGCTTAATAAGACATTGATGGTCTAGCAGAGACAACGTGGACACGGTGGTTTACATGATTACCTCAATTTATGTGCTTCTCGGTGTTCCAGGTTGGGCTGGTCGTCCGTCTTCGAAGCAATACGTCAGCCACACATCAAGTACATATGCCCGACAGCGTGAGTCTCTGCACCATTACCTTCTTGTTCAGGTCTTGCTCATTAAAGAATTACTGGCACATGTACCCAATTAAGTGCCACCACATTGCTGAAAGGCCTCAAGCTATTTAGTTTACTCAAAATTATTACTTATGATGGCTGAGCCCAAAGCTTGAAACATACGAACTGTAATAAGTCTGTAGGTTTTAAACACGGCCACTGGCTACTTTTCCTGATAGTTCAAAGTCTTATGCAGAGGACGCATCTATAGGTTGCCAAAAACTGTGGAGCGCACTCGGGCTCACTCATGCAGCATATCGCGCCCTTGCGGCCCACTGGGCCTCAATCTCACCAAAATTTGCCTCAGGCAGACTCACACCTACTGAGACTTACTATAATTTTTCTCAACTGGATTCAGTCATGTCACAAACACGAAACTTATGCGGACTCACTCTCACTTGGACACCCAACTCGATCCGAGTTTGAGTGAGTTTGCCAACCTATGGGCACATCACATTGCCTTGTTCTTGAGAGTTGTCATTGAGCAGGTCAGCATGGTACTCAAGAAATATCAATGTCACTACATGCATTTGTAATGTGGAGACACCTTAACATTAGAGTTTTTGTGTGTCAATAGCCCTTTTGTAGAAACTACGTTGCATGTAGGTGTACAGTAGTTGCAAGTGCCTAACCATATTGGGTTTTCAGAGTGCTTTAGTGAGTGTAGTTAGGTGCATTGACGTAGCACTTTGAAAGACGGCCCGTCATTTTCCAGGCCAGTGATCCCTGTGACTCTCAATGGGGGCATGCGAATGACTGCATGGTTCGACCTCTGCTCGCTGGACCCAAACGGCCGAGAAGATGAGTCGGGCATCAAAGCGGCTGCGGAAGGAAGTAGGTGTCAACTGTAGTCTGCTTCGACCGTGCAGAACATTACCTTTTAACTACATTTTGTGGTCGGTTTCTAAATCCATGCGTTGACAATGGCTCATTGAGCAACAGGCAGCAATCTCACAGTTAATGCTGTTGTTAATGGCAAATGATACCATATCACTAAGATATGCTTTTTAAAATGATGTCTTTCATCATGAGAACTTTGTAATACTGGTTGTTTTGTGAATGTGGAATGCAATGGCAAATATCCAGGTGACAGTTCCCAGGGAACTTGAGAGAATGAGTCATTTCTAGCTTTTTGTGGCCACCTTGTGCTCTTTCAAAGCAATTTTAATCTACTTCAAGCCTAATTACCACCCGCAATATTTTTCGTCACGAAAGTAGAGAATCTAAAGTTGTGAAGGCGAATAAAAACGAAAAAATGGAATTTTGAAAAAAAAAAATTACATTTTATTTAGTAGCGTCTCTCCATAACAGTTCTCTGTAAGCAATGTTTCAGAGTGCTTCACTTGGTGAAATGCTGTGAGCTATTATCCAACTGCATGAAAAGTCTATCTGGCCGGAACGCTGAAAAGTGTCAGTAGTCTCACGACCATATGTGGACATGTCCTTGGTCAGCGTATGGCGTCAGTTTCACTAGGACTCCCAGTTGATAGGTTATCAGAGAGAGTTTATTCATTAGAAGTGCACACTTTATGGTGCTTGGCAGAGTGTGACATAAAGGATAAGCTGTTTATCTGTACTGCTTTGTTTCTGAGAATCACTTCAGTCATGGCATGAGACAACTGAATTTCTATGCAAGTTTGCACATTTAAACTGCATGTAGCAACGAGTAGCTGAGAAATATAGTCCAAGGTTCGTGGACTTTTTGCTCTAGACACATTTCGTGGTTTCAATGATTTCTGTAGTATGAAGTGTAGCAGAAGAGCTGTTGTGTTCGCATAGCAAATCAGCGTAAAAGAAGCTGAATTAATATAAGAGTCAGGTGCTCTTCTTATGAACAGAACCATACTTAAGCTGGGTTGGGTCGTTTGCTTTTAATTCACTGTGACACGGAAGGAACCTCAAAAGGACGCTAAAGACATATGTGAAGTCGTCGTTAATGGCTGACATAGCGAGCCAAAAATCGATCCTCGTAGTGCTTTTTTCGTGCCAAGGAAATGCTTATTTGGAAATCGCATTTTAGTGTTTCACACGGTGTTTACACGCTTCAAGTCACCCACCTGAAAACGGGCCTCTCTGTCATAGCAGTTGCCTTGCCCAACATTGCCCGTCTTTACTGCATAGCGGCTGACATACGCAAAACGTTATAGGAATGCAGGGTTACTGGACAACGGTGTCGACAGCTTGTTATGCTTTGTGCAACCATAGTCAGACATGTTTGTATTTGCCTGGCATTTTGAGTAAAAAAAATAATAATAAGGCAACTTATTTTTAATTGCGGCATTGCAACGCATTCACACTAGAAGTGTAATGCACAATGCTTTTACAACAAAAATTTTGTGCTTGCCTAGTTCAAGTAAGCTCCGTCAGATCGCACCTCCTTTGCAGCCTAACCAGGCGAAAACTGAACTTTTTGAACCAATTGTGCCATTCTCCATTGTAATTCCAAGTGGTCTTTTTTACATTAATCAAACATAAACAGAGAAGCAGCATTCTATTATGTGTTGTAATGCATGAAAGGTTCTTTTAATTGCAACTGGTTTTATTACTATTCATTAATTGTGGTGGGACCCTTTGACGTCATTGGAATCATTTCAAAATGGCCCACCCGTTAGGGCATATGGCACTGCGGTGTATAATATTGATGTCTTGCACATTCTCAAACACTGATCTTTCACTCTCACAGAAATTGTTATTTGCCTTAAGTGGTCTGTTTAATGTAAATATTGCCGTCTCTGAGCAGCGTTTTAATTAACACGCATAATTTTAGTAATTCATTTGTTTAGTCGCGCAACATTTTAACAGCGAGCAAACCAGCATAGTAGTCATTACGCAATTCTCTCTGGAACATCATGCGTGCAACTAGGCAGAGAATGACACATAATACTGTTAGCGTAATGAACACACATTAAAGCTGCACTCTCATTCCCTTTTTAGCAGCGGTAAAATGACCTCAAAGGCTGATCAACTGGTAGATATTGAGACACTTACACTTGCTGTGTCAGCGAGCTGTCTGTAACCTTCAGCGCTTGCACTTCACCAGCTTAGCTATGCGCAGTTATTTCTGGGGTTGCCATAAGTGTGATCATGTTGCTGAACGTGTTGCTGAAGTTCCGAGATGTATGTACTGAAATTTTTGGCCGGACATGCCGTGTTGTCTACTTCCCATTCAGCAGTCGAGCACAGTGTGAAAGTTTAAAGCTTTGTTTAAAACATGATCAAATGCCAAATGCTTGATATGTAAGTGGAGCTTGAAGTGCGCGTAATTAGTAAGGCTTCAATATTTATCTTGTACTGTGGCAGACACTGTTACTCGCAGAATTCACAGAAAAAATAACTTAAGGCTGAACCAATCTCGGTTGCTTGCCAATGTGTATGTTTATGTATACGTTAAACTTCAATGTAATGAACACGGATATAATTAATTATCAGTTATACTGAAGTAAACTGAGGGTGGTCTTTCTATTGATACATTGTTACGAACGTGTTTATATTAAAATTTCGCTTATAATAAAGCTGCCTTCATTTCAGGTGCAACTTTGTAATAATGAAGTCTTAGTTTTAAAACAGTGTGCTCATCCAATTTCACTTGATCGAATCTTTAAAAAGTGGTCATGTACTGGTCAATTGCCATAAGATTGGAAAGTAGCATACGTAGTCCCAATTCACAAAGAAGGTTCCAAGGAAAACGTCGCCGATTGTAGGCCTTTTTGCTCACATCGATATTGTGCAAGATTATTGAGCATATAAAATACAAGGCTATAATGAAGCATTTATTAGATCATAGTTTATTAACAAAGAAATAACACAGTTTTCGTAAAGGCTTTTCATGTACGGCGCAGCTTCTTCAGTTTTTAACAACCTAGCTTCAGCAATAGACTTGGGTGGGCATATAGACTGTATCTTTCTCGATTACAGCAAGGCCTTCCAAACTGTTTCCCATCCTCTGCTTTTTGGAAAATTAAAAGGGCTAAATATGAATAAAAACATTCCTGATTGGATTGAAAATTGCGTGTTTCAATGCCGCTAATGTGTTGTTTTGAATGGCATTAAATCGGATTTTCTTCAGGTCACATCTGGCGTTCTGTAAGGGTCTGTGCTGGGGCCTCTGTTTACCATTTTTAGCAATGACATTAATGTAGGCTCAGGCCCTAATATGCGGCTGTTTGCAGATGATTTCATTTCAGAACTCTCGTAAAACAGAATCTCGAGGGACCAAAAAAATATGTTCTATTTAGCAAGAGTTCTGTTTACTGAGAGGTGAATATGCGTGCAGAATAGACGCCCGAAACCAAACGTAGCAGAGGAAATTGTTCCACTTAAGCAGAAGTTCCATTGAACAAATTATAGTTTACTTCGAGTTTACTGTATTTACAGAAAAATTCAAAATGAACATGATATTGCTGAATTACAGGATGGTATCTTAATTTTCAGATGAATTTAAACACTAACAAGCACGTCCATGTGTGTTTCTCAAATAAAAATAATTAATGGTAACTAATAAATAAGGGGAAACATTTTAGATAGAAAATATAGGTACAAATATATGGGTGTATTATTGTCGCACGATTGTTCCTGGAATGCGGATGTGGCTTATGTGGTGGCTAAGGCTGTGGTGGCATTGAACTATATTCAAGGGAATTGGAGATGTGCAGATTTTCAGCTTAGGAGCACGGCTAACCTCCCTTGTATGCAAGCAATTTCAGAATATGCTTGTGCTTGTACTCTTTGGGGCTCGTTACAAGTAGGCTTGATTAATAAATTAGAAAAAATTCAAAACAGAGCAGCCAGGTTTGTCTTGAGTCAGTATGGAAGAAATCACAGTTGTATTGAAATGAAAAAGGAATTAAACTGGGTGTCACTTTCATCACGACGTAATAAATTACATTTGAAGTTGTTACATCAGATATTTTATAATAAAACAGGAATTAAGAGAGACATTTACTTCAAACAGCCAGAGTACATATCTGAACGTATAGATCACATACACAAAACAAAGCCATGCCGGGCCAAGACGAACCTGTACGCGAATTCGATTTTTCTTCTCTTTTTTTTGTGTGTGTGTGTGTGCACGCACGTGCGTGCGTGCATGTGTGTGTGAAAACTGTTAATGAGTGGAACAGTCTGCTGTCTGAGCAAGTTTGCAGTGTCAATGAAGATGTGTTTTTTAATGTTTATAACCCTCTTGCTGTAACACCTCCGGGCAAAGCGGGGTTGTGTATGAATAAAGTATAAGGAATAGTGCTTATGTGAGAGTGTCATCATATTCAGAAGGAATTCAGGCAACGCTACTGCTATGACAGGACATAGCTGCCATTAGAGAGTTACATCTTGTCATAGCAGTAGCATTGTCGCTGTCAGTCAGCCATAATTAGCTGACATTTTTGTCATTTCGGATTCAGAAAGACCAAAATAAAAGTTATAATATATTAGGGACTCCAGACATCCCACTTTGAGGCACTCTGTAAAAAGCCTAGCAGATTTCTGGACGTCATTGATTATTTGAAAACAATATTAGTGCCACCGAAGAGAGGCTGTAGCGCATGCTTAGGCAACAGTGTTTATGAAGTAGTGCACAGAGACCCAACCTGAATGTAACATGATGCATTGGCATTTGTGCAAGCTCAAAGCCACACTAATCTATAGTGCAAAGCAATTACGTAATCAGGATTGTTGACACTCACATTTCTGAAAATACTGCAGCTTTGTCACGTACGATTCTCGCAGAATCATTGGAACGGAAAAGGTCAACAAACAATTGAGTCTGTAGAGAATGTAACTTAATAACAAATGGTTAAATTGTCAGCTTGAGCATCTAAATTTAGAAAGCTCACTAACTTCTTCCTTCCGCCACCCCAGTTTCTGACAAGTGCTGTTCTATGTGTGCCAGTTCACAGGCTCATAGCTGATGAGGAGAAAGCGGGGATTTCCTCGGACCGCATTGTCCTGGGCGGCTTCAGCATGGGTGGGGCATTGGCACTGTACTCGGGCCTGCGCTACCCCAAACCCCTGGCTGGCATCCTGGGACTCAGCTGCTGGCTGCCACTCTTCAAGCACTTTCCTGCGGTCAGTGCCCATTGCTGGGGCAAGCATCCGTGAAGTGTTTACTTAGGAATCGGCAGAAGTCTAGCAAGAGTGATTACAGATGCTGTTGGTATAGCAATTTGGCTGGCAAGCAAATGACAGATGAAGGAAAGAAGCTTTGAGAGTACATTGTATAGTGGGGAGAGCAAAATCAGAGAAGTTAGCTCAATAACTGTTCACGCTATTACGAATTTCAATCTTCTTTTAGGGCATACTTTTCTAAAAAGACAGCTGTTGTGATCCAAACCAGAAAAAAAATATTCAAAGGTTGAGAATAGAGGAGTGAGAAGACTAGAGACCATTGAGCAAGGAATGAGGCTCTAGCTGAAGGTGTGGTAGAGAGAACTACACTAAAGCGCTGCTAGAAAAAGCAGCTGCTGCCTGGACAAATAAGCATTTCTTTGGTGAAACTGCTGCTTTGAGCAACATTATTTGTTTCATGCTTTATGAATGGTTGTAGAAGCATTGAGCAACTAGTGTAATCGTACGTTGCAATGCAGACAAAAAAAAATATACCGTATGTGTTGCAGTGAACAATCGCAGCTGGACAAAGTCATTGGTTGTTTGTCTAGTGTGCCACTCTAAGACATGGCCTGTGTGAGCACATTTGTCAAGTGTCCTTGTGCCCCTTGTTGTCGTGGTTATGTGTCTTGCGACACTTGGCATTAAAGCGGTACAGATGTGCGATAAGACCCCCACCCCCTATACCGGATTATATTTTGAGCTGTGCCAATGATGCACTAGCTTATATGAAATTATTGTGCTAGGAGAAGTTACAAAAGCGCGTAAGCTCACACACCTTTGTTATTACCTTCCACATACCAAACATGCTGTGCCAAGTTCTAGCACAGGGTCATATGTTGTATCAACTCTTGTAATCTTGAGGGAAAAGAGTGGAGTTTCGATGCATTAGAGGATATTTGTGCCTCGAACCATGTAGCAGTGTTCCACAAATGTAGCGTATTCTACTAACGTAAATGAAATCACTCAAAAAAGATACCTATTGGATGGCAATGGTGCTGGCCTTGGTTTATGCAGAAAGGGGCAATTGCCGAGGCATTGCATCGCAGAGCCGTGCCGCCCTGTTCCGCAGTGCGTTCTCAGGTTAACTGTGGTTCTCTATCCCGTGGCCAGAACTCGAAGCAGCACGAGCTGCTACATCCGCAGGCAGGGGCATCTCCCAAAAAGGGTAAGACTAAACAGGCTGCGCATTCGGCTGTGCCTCCAACTTCAAAGGAAGCAGAGGAGAGTGCGATCGGCATGATATGGAGGTTGTTCCCGTCTATAGCTGGCAAGAAGGAAGAAAAGGGTGTGACCAAACGGGCTGAGAAGTTGCCACAGTGTCAAACTTCGAACGAAGCAAACAGCTCAATCAAGAGGTTTGAAGAGCTGTCTCCTACTCGAACTTGCAAGGGAGTGGTGAAGAGTGTGACCAAAGAAACTGGGGAGTTTTCTCGGTCCCAAGTGTGCGAGGAGGAAGACAAAGAGGAGCTTAATGTGTTTCAAACTTGCGAGAACGATCCAGAGGTCGTCCATCCCACCATGGCTGTGCAGCCGGGGATTGAGAAGAGCGTGCTTGAAGAAACGCTGGTGAGGAGCTCTGCCTCTGCTCCAATTAAAGGCTTCCTCAATTAGGCTGCCCGTTTGTGCTCTAGTCTCAACGCTGAACCCTGCTCACTAGTTTGAACTATGAATGAATTGACGTGTTGCAAGTCCAATCGGCAGGTGGAGCAACTTAAGAAGGATGTTCCAATCAGAATACGTATGAAGTGTTGTCCTTTGTCTATGAAAACACTAATGTGCTGTCCTTGCTCTACCCAAAAAACACCCTTTAGGGTCAATTTTCAGTGCCTATAGCACTGTTCTACCTTGCTTTGATATTGTGGGCCCTTGTAGTACTTCCAGATCACAAATTGGAAGTGCACTATCAGTATGATCTACTATCCTTGACAGGAATGTAACAAGTGCACAGTTTTCAGGAAGAAAATTGCTACAAGCAAAACAAATGGTGATTATTTGGCAGTTAAAGAATAATCCTTCTTGCTTTGCATACTTGGCCATTTGTTGTACTGAGTGCAAGACAAGCAATTTGATAGCAACGCATCCAGTATAGCAGAATCAGCACCATAGCATTGCTTGCACCAGTTAGCACATTCTGGTTGACCTGCGTTTATGTGCTGCTGCGAAAATTCTTCAATGCAAGTCGCAACATTGTATGTTGATGTTCCCCCCATCGTGGCATCTATGCTGCAGTTCAAAGTAGTCACTTTTTTATGGGAAAATGCTACTGTCCTTTCCTGTGAGTCGTTCACATAACGTACATGTTGTTGGCACAGCTCCTGTGTGTAATCTAGGGTCCTCTTTTATAGTGTGTTTTTCCTCTAGGGTCCTCTTTTATTGATGGTTTTTGTGTGTTTTCTGTCTGTGGTGCAAGTAACCATCTGCCTTTTTTTTTTATTAAATTGATGAAACAGGAGAGGTTGGTTACATTATGGTGGTACCGGCTACTCTCTTAGTAGACAGGATATGCTGTAAGATAAACAATAAGAGCACGAAATGCGAGACTGTGCAACATACGATGGGACACTACAGATTCAGATGTTCTACACACAAGGTCAATTCACATAACCTCAAGGTCAGTTCACTTTGAGTCAAAGGATTACATGTATGAAATATGCTAATTATTACACATTTCCTTTATCACGAAGGTGACATCACATATCTATGGGGTTAGCCAGCCTTGACCATTGACCAACGATGAAAATAGCATAGAATCCAGCAGTAGGCATCGCTGCAAGAAGGTGGCCATAAGGTCAGACCTCACACAGCTATGACGAAATTGCCTACAACCAATATTTTTGAAACCTGTACAAACCAAAATGGATAATTTAACACACCCCTCTCCACAACATTAGTTCCACCTCTGATCATGGCTTTACACGCCAGAGTTGATGAACCATCTCACAAATTGAGTGCATAACTAACATTCAGATAAGCTTAGAGGAGGTCTACACTGATTTCCACAGTTACTGGCTATGAGTGCAGCCATTGTGCAAGTTAATGCTAGAGCAAAAGCGTTGGGCATTGCAATGTTTGTCAATGTCGTACCTGCATCACAAAAGTCTATTAACGAACAGAGCATGCACGTTGATAATGTTAATTATTTGTATGCATAATTTCTTTACATTTGATTGTGAACACTATTTATTCTCTGTTGTGCGACAGTCACCCCGAAAGATGAAACTAAACTCAAATCTCATCATAAAAAAGTTGCATCATAGACAAAAATAAGTTCGTTACATGCAAAAATTTGTTATATAAAGTTTTATTTCTAACACTATATCTATTGCAAGAATATTTTTTATTTACTTTGCTATAACCAATGTTTTGTTATATCTGGGTTCATTATATCGAGGTTTGAGTGTATATTTAGGCTGTATGCTGTTGTATCAGCTGCAAGTGTAAACTGAAAAGTTCTGTAAACAGATGCTTTCAAGTTTGTCAATGGCTCTTTGCAAGCACGTGCTTGCAGGCGTCAACAGTTTGTGGCCATAACTTTATCACTGTGCATTTTCTTACATCTTTTTAAGGAATACCTCACACTGTCCGTCCGTAAAATGCTGTCGTCTACATCAGATATAATGCAGGTCCATGTGAACAAACCAACTCCAAAAAGGTTAACAAAAAGCTTTTAACAAGAACTAACAAAATAAAAGGCCACCACACCATAGAAACAACATCTAATCAGAACAAAATTGAAGACCACAACACGACAAAAGCAGCAAGGTGGCAACGTCAACAACAAGCTACCCCGGAGTTGAAGGTGCAGCAAGTGGTAGCTAAGCCCCGGAAGTGTTGTCTACCAGAGGTGGAGACTCAAAATGCCGCCACGGACAAGAGGGCATGAAAGGCACTGCTCGCTGCAGTCAACACCACGACTCTGATGCTGATCTACAGATAATTCGCAGTCACATGCAAACTGCTTTTTTCCATAATAAGCATTCACTTTATGGATATGCGTGTTATTTTTGTGTGTGTTTTATAGGTGGTTGGAGCAAAATTTCATACTCCTTATCACTCAAATAAGTTTAAAGGATAATAGCAGAACCAAATTTAGAGAAAGACATCTCAGACATTGTCATGCTGTCGCTGCAAATAGGGCACTCCTTGTGAACATCGGCGCGGACTCCGCTTGGATAACTGAATGATAGCATACTTTGTAACAGCCGTTGTCGACCACTTCTCTCGCTTCTTTAATGAGGCACATACATTGAAGAACATGTCGGACTGCTGGAGAGACATTGCGTTGCTGTTTATCAAACCAATTAACTAATGCTGAACTGCCAAAGTGAAACCAAGTACGAATTGCATATGTGTAGCTTTTATAGCTTGGTGGCTCGGCTTGGTATAGCTTGTTTCAAGCTTGGGGCGTGGCCAGCAGCTGCTGGAGAAATTTCTAATTTCTTCCAGCCTTGGAAAGATGCAAACATTGTGGTATCAAAACCTAAATATTTATGGTCAACTCTGTGGCCAAATCGGCATCAAGTCACAAAGGTCCAGATGATTGCCAAAACACAAACATTGTAGTATCAAAACCTAAATATTTATGGTCAACTTTGTGGCCAAATCGGCATCAAGTCACAAAGGTCCAGATGATTGCCAAAACACAGTATCTTGTCTGAACTTTCATTCATCCTTGTACATAAACTCTGGTGCCAGTGGTGTTGTTGCGGAGCTGTCACATTCATCAGTGTCTGAATATCCGTGTTCGGTGGTCTTATCTTTGTTTAGAATGAGATGAGTTTCTCAGAAGTTTATTTGTACAAGCAAAACTAAATTTAGGAGGGGCACGTGTGGCTAAGGGGCATCTCTGAGGGCCAGTTGGTGTGTACATTACAAAGGATATCATGTGGTGAGGTAACAAAATCGTCTTACAGGTCTAGCTTGCTTAAAAAGCCTCTCGTTCTCTCTTTGTGCAGGCGGCAGTTGGCAATCATGACACGCCCATTATGATGTGCCACGGAGATTGTGACGACCTGGTGCCCATGCGCTGGGGTCAGCTGACGGCCGACCTGCTGAAGACGTTTGTGAAGGACGTCACCTTTCGGCAATACAAGGGCATGGGCCACTCTTCGTGCGAGGAGGTCAGTGACTTCATCTCTTTTTGCCGTCAACCATAGGCGCTATGAGTTTTTAAGCGTCTGCAAATGGCCTGCCTGTCACAGTGGAATACGAAACGTGACGATGGTTATAGCGCGAGAACAAGACGACACAGAGACAAGAAGGACACAAGCGCTAACTTCCAACTGAGTTTATTGCGCAGAGCGCGAAACTATATAAAGGAGACAGTAACCATGTGACAAAAACCATATGGCACAAAGAGCAGAACTTGAGTAAGAGAAAAACAAAAGCACAGAAAAAAGGCAAAGAAAAATGTATAAAGAAACGAAACAGAAAAGTAAAGATAATATAACTATTTGCACGCACCGAAACATTCGAGGAACCTTAGTTCCTTTGCGGACAGGGACACGGAGGGCTTGCTAATGCAAGGCATCTGTTCGCGTGTCATCTGCGCGGCCTGGACAATGTCTCGGGTGCGCTCATTTTTGTGCTTGTACAGCGTCGCTGTGTCCTTGAAAAGGGGCACACAGTTGCACTCAGTGCAGTGCTGAGCAAGAAAACCACCTTTCCCGTTTCTAACATTGTTAGTGTGTTCTCTCAGCCGATCGTTCAGACACCTTCCGGTCGATCCGACATAACAAGCGCCGCATGAAAGGAAGGTCCTATAGACAACTTCCCGGGAGCATGCCGCATACCTGTTTCTATTCCATACAAACACCAGATATCACACAGGCTCAAGAAAATCCGAAAACGAGTTGGAGTTCGTGTCCTGTTCTCGGCACCATTCAACTTAATCAGCCTTACCAAATCTAGAAACCCCCTGAAAACGCAGTCATCAACGGAATGCAGAGTTCAACATAAAAACAGGTATGCAGCATGCTCCCTGGAAGTTGTCTATAGGACCCCCCTTTCATGCGGTGCTTGCGAATCGACCAGAAGGTGTCTGAACGACCAGAAGGTGTCTGGCTGAGAGAACACGCTAACAAGTTAGAAATGGGAAAGATGGTTTTCTTGCTCAGCACTGCACTGAGTGCAACTGTGTGCCCCTTTTCAAGGACACAGCGTCGCTGTACAAGCACAAAGATGAGCGCACCCGAGTCATTGTCGAGGCCGCGCAGATGGCACGCAAACAGGTGCCTTGCATTAGCAAGCCTTCCGTGTCCCTGTCCGAGAAGGAACTAAGATTCCTCGAAGGTTTCTGTGCGCACAAGTAGTGCGCACAAGTTACGAAACGTGAACCATATTCGTGGCATTGGCATCAGCCTAGCATTTGAGGGCCCTTATGTGATCTCATGCTTTCACAAAATGGACCTAGACATTTTGTTGCTAGCTTCCATCAGTTTCGAAGTTAAGTTAATGAACTTTGAATTTTGAAGAAAATAAGCGTTATTCATGTATAATTCAATTTAAGAGAATAATATTGTGAACACAGGTAAGTGGACGAACCCACATCTTCTGCTATGTGCACGCAATTATTTGCAACAAAAAAGCCATGAATCACTTTTCCAAGCAATGATCAAATGGCCTCAGTATCAGAATTTCGTTGCTTCACAAATCAATTCCACAAGAAATTTTACATTTGCCGGAAACTAGCAGTTACAGACATTTGCTGCACGCTTTGAGCACCTTTTCCATTGTTTTTCTGGGGGGGACGTGGCTTTCATATCGTGAAAAATGGCCGAAAAATCGATTTTTTTGAAAATCACATTTTCAGTTTCTCTAGCCCTTCTTTTATCTGATTTTGAAGTATCACCACTAAAATGTGTCTAAAAGCGCTTTTAAAAATTTGTTGCACTTGCCGAAGTGGAGAGAATGATTGCTGATACAGTGAAACCTCGTTAAACGGTTGTTTGCTGGAGCTCGGAAAAAGTATGTACTAAACGGTAGTACTGCTTAACCGAAATAGCCTCAGATCGCTCACTTACATGTGAAAAAAAGAAACCTTCAGGGAGTGCGATGAAAGAACAAAAAACGTGCAGTAATTTATTAACTTCGCGTGACAAAGTCTGTAATCTTCATTTGACGACACGGCGGCCTAGCAGCAACGACAGCGGCCTCAAACTCACTTGTGCTGTGAGCCAGCTTTTCCGCCAGCCCCCTCTTCTCGGCAAATACCTGCTTGACGCTGACGCAATGCGCAGCTTCGGCCACTGTCGGACCTGGATCCACCCGTGTTGTCACTTTCCATGTCGTCCTCATCACTATCATTTGGCGAGACTTCAACAACCGAGGCAACAGTGGCTTCGTCGGACATGTCCGGAGATGTCTGCACATCGCTGTCTGCGTCTCTGAAGTCGGGGAAGGAAATGCCTTCCGTAACGCCCTGCCGCACCAGCACTTCAGCTAGCAGAGTTTTGCAAGCTTCGTCTACAATGTCCGAAGTCTGGTCGATGGTGTCACTGGCGTCATCTGCGTCGCCCGCACACACATTGAAGCCAGCACACTTGAAGTAATTTTGAACTGTCGTTGCTTCAATCTGCCGCCACGAGAGTTGTGCGGCACGGATCAACCAGAGAACACCTATGCACGGCGCCAAAGGAACAAAGAAAGCAAAACAAGCACACACCGTGTTTGCGTGTTTGTGCAAAGCGCCATCGCGTGGACAACACCAAAAGCCTAGCCGGCCGAGTGCTTCTTGTTGCAGAAAAATCCAAGAGATGGCGCTCACCAACACAGCCGTCATCATCATCAACACAAACGAGGCGTGTTTCGATCTCTGTGGCTTGCTGTTCTGTCGGGACGCCCAGTGGGGGACGACATTCCGTGGCGAGTGCACAACGAAAATTGGAACAGCTACTTATTAACCGATACATACCCTATAAGCTGGTACGGCTTATGCGGATACAAAATGCATGTTCAATGGCCGCCGAGTCGAGGATTTGACTTCACTACTTTTAAAACGAAACTACTGTTTATGCGGGTGCGGTTTAACGAGGTTTCACTGTATTGCGAAAAGAAACGCCGATTTTCAAAAAAATCATAGTTCCGGAACAGCACGACAGGGCGCCGTTGCTTTGGGCTCGTTGGAAAGAGTGTTTCTCCCTGTTCGAATTCCCCGCTTCAGCTGACCCCTTTCTTTAAAAACAACCGCGCAAAAAGCAAATGTCCGTAGGTCGCTTCAAGGCGTCTGATTGGCCAAACCGGGAAAGTGCGAATTATTTTTCAAAAAAAATATTCGTACTTTCAGTTGTTGCTGAGCACATATTCAAAGTATAGGATGTGGGAACTTCTCGAATTTTTGTAGTTTGCTCTGGAAAGGAACTTAAGCATAAAGAGTCAAGTGTTTTTGAAAAGCGTACATCTTGTTTTGTCACAGGTTTTGCCTATCTCTCTCTGATTTTTTACTCTTTTAGTTAGTAAGCGCACGAATGATACTGCAAGTTATAAAAGTCGGAATCGGGGTGTGCAATCTGTGACCTCTGGTAGCGCAACTAATCAAACACATTGTCCTGATGTAGATTTTAATATTGCAACAATTATTATTTGCCTGATGTAGTTGCTGTTTACGCGATGCTGTCTCTAGCTTCGGGATGACCGGCCCTTACTCCTAGGCGGTCATCCCCACATGGGCAGCTAAAGCAAACCTGTGTTATTCAACCATCTTGGTCCTTTTCTATATGGACTGGGGAGGTCAAGCGCGCAGAAACAGAGGAGATTTCTCGGTGGAATGGGAAGCAGCGGCATGTATACCCACATTTATGTGGATGTGGCAGTGCAGTTTATTTCTGGGTTTGTGCGAATAGTGAATGTTAGTTTCGAAACTAACAGTGATTTTAGTCGAACAATTTTCAATCTAATTAAAATATAACATGTTATAATGCAAAAGAGGCATATTTGTCATGACCGAACTAATCTGCACAATATATATAATTTATTTTTAGATTGAAGCAAGGTGTGTTGAAATGCCATTCTTTTTGGCTTGTGGTGTACACGTATCCCGAAGGAGTACGGCCACCAGCGTGGGTCCGGTCTTAGCGAGCCGCAGGGCACGCGTTAACCGTCGCCGTGGCGGGAAACACGATACTGCTCAAGTCGCAACACTTTATTGTGGCAACACCAAACGCAGTACAGCCCGTTGCAAAAAGGCGCGGCGGGAAAGCAAATAGGCTTATCCACGCCACGGGCACAAAGTACTACACAGGGTGCCACGAGCACGTCTCCGCGGTAAAGGTGATCCACGGAGACACCGGGACAAAGGGCCCGGTTGCTCGAGCGAGGGCAAAGGCGCTCGCGTTGGCTTCGAAGGGAGACGGGTCGGCGTAGCTAGGCCACGCACTAGGACACCGTACTGCCCTTCGGCCGTGAGTACGCAGCGGGGCAACAAAAGGTGAGCGTTCGCATCGGGCGCGAGGCGCCGTCAGCGAAGTCCGACGAGCCCCGAGCGACGGGACTCGACGGACGGAAGAGAATGCGTGGCTCACCGTTTGAAGTCCCGGACTGTACTCACCGCTCCCGACGCAGCGCGCGAAAACCTCTCGGGGGTCCCCCGCGCGCGGCGCCACCGTCAACATCCGCTACCGGGTGAGGGAGTTAAACGTCACTCCGCTCTCCCACCACGGCAGACAGCGAAGGAGGGCAGACATGTCGGGACATGAGAACGGCAGAAAAGGCGGCAAAGCCCGCGCAAAGGCAGCGGGCCAGCCTCAATTCCCACAGGCTCAAAAGAAGTGGAAACAACTTTAAATAGTAGGAGGAATTGACTCTTGGTAGAATGCGTGCGATAACCTCTAAAATATTTCGTTTTATTGTTTACTATACTTATAGAATATAAACTGGTTCAACAAGCTTTTAATTGTGAAAAATGATAAATCAATGTGAGGGTGATATGTACATTTAACCTTGAACTGGGGCTTTGCAGCTATAAGTAGGTGCTTTCGCAGCTTAGCATTCTCCCACTGCAGTGAAACAACCTTTACAGGGGTTACACGCATATTGATGCATTCATTTCGAATGCTTCTGAAATTTTCAATAAGTCAAATTGAAGTGAATTCTAATACTGTGATATTTGTTCAAATCTTCGAAGCATTTTAATATTCGCACAAGCCTATTTATATCCAATGATTCGGTTTTTCTAATGTCTTCACTGGCACTCCACATGTTTCCATAGCGGGGCCATCACTTGCAACGTGGCAAGTGATGGCCACTTACTTGCATTCGCGTTTCCATAAAATGTTTGCTGCAGGCAAGATGATGTGCTCTTTTTGGAATAAATTGTAGCACATTGTCGGTTCACAAGCAACCGAAGGTTGCGGGATCGAATCCTATTTGCGGCAGCCACATTTCGGTAGAAGCGAAGCACTAGAAGGCCTGGCGTACTTGTATTTAAGACTCTAAAGAACCTCAGATGGTCGGAACTTCCAGAGGCCCTGCTGCAGCATTTCTTGTAATCCTATTGTGCTTTTCGGATGTAAAGTTCTCACATTCAGGGAAGGCAGTTGAGAAATTTATGCGCATTTTTTTAACATGTTTTCTTGACACGTTTTTTGCATTTGTTTTTGGTGCAGGAAACGCAAGACATTGCCGCCTACTTACAGTCACGGCTGCCACCCAGGCCGGAATAGCGGCCAAGTTCGAAAGCACCGAGTGAAGAGTGCGTCTGCACAGCAGGCAGAGACTTGCTTCCGGCTTGCATCGCAGCATCTGCCTCTTGTCTGAGCACAGCTTTTTTTTTTCTGTTCATAAGTTCTCTTCATTCCAAGTCGTCTCTCTTCCCGTACGAGTGCTTTGAGAAAGAAGAAAAGAAGTATAGATTGTGCCACGGGCGTTCACCGCACCTAGTTTTTTTTTGCCAAGTAGGCTTTGGCGAGAGGAAGAGTAAAAAAGTGCACTGTGATGGCCGCTTGTGTGATGATTCATCTTCTTCAAACACTAATTTTTATGAGTTGTTGACAATCTTGCCCTAGCAATGCTAGCACTGCTTAGTAACTACTTCAGGGTGTATACCAATTTGATTTCTCCGAATTCTCTGACTTTTCAAGGTTTTCCGGGATGATTAAAAGCAAATTCCATGACCGCCACGCCTGCTTGGAAAACTCTGTGCACTGAAAACTAATCCTCGAGTGTTAAAACAAATATCAGGCACTCGTATAAAATAAGTATACATAAAATTCTGAGCGTGGGCAGTAAATATGAAAAAATGTGTTTATCTGGCCAAAATAAAACCTCTGACCCAGGCAGTGAGCAAGTTGGCTGTTTACTGTTTGGAAGAGGAATTAGGAAGCAAACACACGAGTTAAAATGAGTTGTGGCTGCAAGTTTGAAGGAGCCCGTGAGAGTCCAACAAGGCAGCCAAAGCTCCTAGAAAATGTAGAATGGTGTAATAAGAGGACGCGGGAGCTTGGTCAGTTCCCCCTCTGGAGTGTTCACTGTGACGGCTACCTGCCCAAGCCACTTAGAATTGGAGTGGGTTAGATCGATATAGACTGCTGTATGTGCGATCGACTTGCATCTTCACTTAATTTGCACACCTCTAGAATGTAATTTTCAGCAAAAAAAGAATAACTACTACTTGTGTATTCTGTAGACCTTGCCTTGACTACAACTAATGGCAACGTTGCGAGAGCAGAGCCGTGCTGAGAAATGTCGTTTCTTTCTTCTTCTCTTTTCTTTTTTAACACAACGGGCACAAGCGTGTTGGTGTTTTTTTTCTTTAGCCTTTGACATTTGTAATGCAAAAAAAAAAAAAAAGTCCTCAGATACCTGCAATGAAAGCTGGGTGTAGCATCTAAGTCCTGACATTTGACTATGTGGTGGCAAGAAGGAATCTGTTAGGCCACAACAGCTTCCTCAATTCTATAGATGAATCACAGATGCCAGCATGTTACCTTCGTTTACGTACTCTTCTCTGGATGTGACGCCAAAAAATAATCACATTCAATAACACCACCTTAAAAAACTGAAAAGAAGAATTTAGCTGAGTTTACCCAGTGCTACCTCTGAAATGCGAGCTACCATCAATAAGCGCATAGCTGAGGACGTTTGCCATTGCACCGCCAATATAATGATAGTAATAATAATAATAAAAGCCATGACATAGCCGGTAAGCCTCTACTGACAGCCATTCTAGTTTAACCACCTTACCAAAAGGCCTCAGGTCAAGTTGAAAACGGGGCCAAGACAAATATGCACAAATTTACTGACATGAGTAATGCTATGCTTGGAAAGTAAGGTATGCTTTGTGATGTGTAGAAACAACAGACATCAAAATGAAATAGTGCATGTACCAACATGGAAGCTAGGGAATGCTTAAGATAGCATGAGGACAAGCTGCCACTATTGAGACAACCAGTACATAGATAAGATGGGTGATTTCAAGAAAAAGGTTGACCAGCATGAATACGACATCACGAAATGACGCAGAGCCTTGAATGCCCTCGATGAACATAAGGAATCTGCAGGCCACCAAATTGACTGGTCAAGCGCACGTGTTCTGGCCAAAGAAAAGAAGCTTGCATCATGCCTGCTCCTGGAATCCCTCCACATTCAGACAAATGCTCACATGCTGAACAGGAGTGATGGGACGCTTCTGACAATGTACTTGCGCCACATACCTAGGCGTAAATAAATACGTTGTGTCTTTCTTATGGCTTTTATTGTGAATAAGGCTCCCTCATCATGTGCCGAAATGTCAGTAAACTTTGTGTTCTTTTGGTCGGTGTATCCTTTTGCGTTTACACGCAGCAAGCAACAGTTATGCACTGCCTTTTTTTTTTTCACGCCTCTTCTAACTGTTCAGTGTAGTTGTGGCTTTGATCAATGGTAATGCTTAATTTCGTGACAGTTGCACAGACTGCCGTCAGTTTCCACGATCTGGCCAAGTTATACAGAAATTCCCCGACTTTTCTAGAAGGGTTAAAATTGCCCGACTTTCCTAGGTTTTTCCGGTTTTCCAGGTTGGTAGGCTTGCCTAAACAACCTTTCATGTGTAAAAATGCCATGTTTTGCATAGTGTGTGTGGAAATCACTACTACTTGTACGCACTATGCGAAGCATGGCATTATGCAAAATAAGAATAAATCTCGCTGACGTTTCAATCTGCCATCTTATTTTAACAGACTGCATATCACAACTACCATCTGCATGGTGTTCAGGAATTCACATGCTAATCCTGGCTAGGCGCCTTCATCACACAAAATTAGACACCAGTGCCGCAACCTTTGCTCAAATCGATTGTGTAAATAGCCCAAAACAATGATCCAGAAAACATGGCACATCTAAGCGTAAGCCGTAACATTTGGCTGCTTCGCAACACCTTTTTCATCCCTGCAGCCATGAGCCTTCACTATATATTTGTCCAGCACTTTTAACGAATCAATCGCACATCTCTCTATTGCCATACATGCCTGAACAAGGAGCATCCTCATCACTGCAATTTCAGGGTACTATTATGGAGTGAAAGTAGTTCTGGCTTTTGGCAGGACGAATGGCTGCATTGGCTGAAAGCCTTTTCTTTGGTTCCAGGACTAACATTACGCAGTAGTGGTAGGTTTGTTATTGGCAATGTGGCTTATCTATTAAAAGTTTCAGTAAACCTCTCATGTTTGCTGACCTGCTATGCTTGAGCGATACATAGCCAGAAAATTGAATTTTGAATGAAATTAGTTGGGCTTTACTGTAACTCTCATTAGAAGGTCCGTGGAACCCAGGTTTAAAGGTTGAGTTACCAGTCGGGCTTGCCTTTTTGGTGAAAATTCACTCACAATCAAAGTAATTGAAATTGAATGACATTTTAAAAGTAGTAGCTACATTCAAGATTTACAAGAGCAACGAGCTTGCTTTCTTAGTGATGAAGTTCAGTAAAATTAAATAAAAGTTTCAAAAATCTAAAGATATAATATTTACAAACAAACAATATACATACAATACAAAGGCTCACCATTTTGGTCAGAAACACCCCCACAGTCAAATTTCTTACAGTGAGTCAAAGCATTAAAAAATAAATGCAATATTTACAAAGGTCATATGCTTGCTTTTTTTGTCAAAACCTATCCACAATTATATTTATTGAAATTTTATCACACTATGAAAATTATAAAGTACTAGATTTTTTATCTCTATAAAGTTGTCTTCTTGGCCACCAATTTAACCTGCAATCAAATTTATTTTAATGACAGAAAATCTTCAAAAACAAAAAAAAATCTACATATGCTCAGCTATTACACAATTAACATTTGAGAGTTCAATAAAACGTAAAAGGCCCGAAAAAAATCGAAATTTCCAAAGTCCAGGCTTCTCTCTCTCTCTCTCTTTTTTTTTTTTTGAGTGTGTGTGATGAATATGCCAAAATCAAATGCTCTAAACTAGGATTAAAATTTCAAAGGGGAAAATACAGGAGGTCCGAAGGTAGAGGGCACCAGAACAGGAGAGCGCTCGGAACAGTTGCAGAAGCAACCACGGCCTCTGAGATAGCGGGCGCGCGGCAGGTAAACAAGCCATGTGCCCGCCATCTCGGAGGCCATGCACCAACCAAGGAGGTTATACTAAAACTTGGCACCAACGGACTCAAGTTTGAGCCCATCCACTTGTGGCACTGTGATTCTGTAGCCTGCAATCTGTCGTCGTTTTAAGAATTGTGCCCCGCTTTATCAAAGTGGTGCAGAGGTAAAACGCCTGCTTTCCATTCAGAAGGCCCAGATTCGAATCACAGCTGCAAATGTTGATATTTTTATTTTTTTTGTGTGTGACATGTAGTTGTATACTTTTTTGTTGTTGTTCTTCTGAAAACTAGCTCCAGTTGGCACGTATTTCTACAAAAAGTAACTTGAAATTTGAAGTCATAAAGAAGAAATTTCACCAGCAAAGCTGGAATGAAGAAACCTGGGACTGTACTTCCGCATGGCTATTCTGGACACAGTCTAATTCCGCCATATCGATAAATTTTGTAATGGCGGCATTTTAATCCAATCAGAGAGGTCGTAGCAGCTCACTTGGCCAATTAGCATCGATCAATGATGGAATCTAACAACATGTCAGAATTCGACAGTATCCAGAATAGCACCCCCCCCCCCCCCTCGCCACCCCGAGATGTTCAGTGCGAACAAGCGTCATATCAACCATAGATCCACTGCATTCCACAAGCGTGCGGGCTGCGCTTGCAATTATGGAACTGTTGGCACTCGCATAGATGAACAGATGCAGGATTAACACCACTCCAATTGTTGCCTAAACAACATTGATATTGTTCTGGTTGTCTGTTTAGAGCTGCATCATCGCCACTTCTGTTTCAGTTTTGCAGGCAAACTTGGTCAAGTTCCATACTCACCAGAGACCACTTTTGGGAAAGCCCAATGCAGCAGAGGGTTCTTCACTAGAAGTACCGCAATTCTTCCATTTGCCATGAAAACATTTCTCCTTTAGTCAAGAAGTTAATTATTTCAACTTTGTAGCTAGTCCAATAAATATTGTTGTATCATCATAATATACCTGTTGCTATGAAAAGCGTAATTATGGAGACTGAGTAAATACCCCATTTCCCTCATTTCTGAAGACTTGTTTACCTTGCCAGCGGACCAGTCCTGCCTAGCTGGTGCTCTTTAAAACCGAAACTGGGCGTTCTAAATACGCATATAAGTACGTAATCATTGCACACTCATGCAAACGACGTTTTCAGCCATGATGAGTGGGCGATGAGCTACTTATTGCAACAAATAAAAAACAAAGTGCAAGATTTTTGTGTCAGTGCTTTTAATGTCAAATGCAAGCTCAATTCGAAATGAGCCTGAATGAGTATAACTTCTAGCTGCTTCAGTGAAAGTGAGTAATTGCAGTAACTCCAGCATATGTTTGATTCTTGTGAGTCTAAGTGAATCAAGATAAATAGGACTTTTATTTGAATCTCGAGTGAGCTTGGCTGAGTATATAAATGCTAGCGAAAACATGCAAGTCCAGTCATGCAGAATTCCAGTGAGTGCATCCAACAGAGCCTGGATAAGTCAATCGAGTTCTGCTAGTAATAAATGAATGGTACAAGAAAAGAAATGCTGTCACAGAACGAGCGCTCAAAAAGGGCGCGCCGCCAAATTCTCGCCACGAAACGAGTGACGCCGCAAGATCAACGAAAAAAAAAGACAACAAACATCTAAAGGCTCCCCGGGCGCGCGACTCTCTCCCTCGGAAGCGTGGGTTCGCCGACGAACCTCCTCACCCCACCTCGGCGGCCGAGCAAGCACTCGAAATT